GATATAGCCATGTCCGTCTGTCTGTCCGTCTGTCTGTCCGTCTGTCTGTTCGTCTGTCTGTCTGTATGAACGCAAGGATCTCCGAAAGTATAAGAGCTAGAATAACCAAACTTGGTATACAGATTCTCCTGAGACCGAGAAAGGACGAGTTTGTTCATTTTTTCTGATCCACCCCCCCACTCCCCCCCTATTAACGATTTTCTATAACTCCCGTAATTCTTGGAATTTTGAACTAAAATTTGGTAGACACAGTTAGTAATTATATATCCGTATACCAAGTCTCATTATGATAGAATGATCGGAAAGAAAGTTATAGCCATATAACCAGGCCCAATGCACACATACATACATATGTGCAAGTACACAAACACGCATAAGGCACGATTCTGATGGAAATGTAAATGTATGTATGCATGCATGGAATATTTTATATTTAATTTAGTTAATTAATGAAATTAATTTAGTTAATTAATTAAATTAAATTAATTAATTAATTTAATTACTTTTTTGTGGGGTGGTACAGGGTATTTAAGAGTTGAGCCTGCTCGACTTTAGCATTCCTTTCTTGTTTTTACAGGAAAACTCCCATATTTTAGGCCGCAAAAAAAATATCAAAAAACCAAGTATGCAGTTTTTCTTCGAATTGTTTTGAGGGTATACAAACTAAGTTTGAAGTTAATCAGATGAAAACTGTAGATTTTTCATGTTTTCCTGTTTTCCCCCCTTTGGAGCTCGAGTCAAAATCCCTTCTTAGTGGGCACCTAGACTATGAAAGGATACTTGAGTCCAAATTTCAGCTTCCTAGCCTTTACCGTTTGGGCTGTGCGTTGATCACCAATCAGTCAGTCAGTCAGTCAGTCAGGACAAACTGTTTTATATATATAGCTTAATTTGAGCCAAAAACCATATAGCATTATGCTTCAGCTTCGAAAATCAAGATCAATTCTACTAAGATACAGTGTGCAGTTAACTCTAAATTAATTATATTTTGGTTTAATCTATGTGATGTATAGACCAGAGAGGTGCAGTCCTCCTGCGCCTAAAAGTACACCACAAATTTCACACACGAACTATGCATGTGACTATGCAACATTTTTGCATAATCCGTTTATCGATGGTTGCTTTTATTTGTTTATCCAACACAACCATATACACACTCTGAGACATACTCACCCACACACTGACACACACCATGATACATTTTTAGAAAAGCCATGTCCACACTAATGCACACAATGCTTGTCATATTTGCACTGCGTATTATGCGCTACAATTTGCCATGGCATGCTTTGACGGGCGGGATGGTGGGAGGTCCTGACTGCCCAGGCAGGATAGCAGTGAGCTCTGCCAGGCTAGCTGGACAAGTCCTTTGTCAAAATGCGGCTTAAAATATTTTGCGCAAATATTTTTATGACAGGTGCATGAAAAACAGTAAATACACTAACATAAACACGCACACAAACACGCCCAGTCAACTATTGCGCATGTGTTGGTGCCTGTTTTTTCAGTTCCTGTTCGCATACATATACATATGCATGTACACGCATACATATTTGTATATACACGTGCATACCTGTTCGGAATTGTGTATCTAAGCCGTTAATGAAAAGCGCTCAAGTTAATGGAGATTTATTGTTTCTGACGTTGTGTAATAAAGTGTCATAGTTTCCTTGTGGGGTTGAATAGTATTGTTGTTTCTGCTGTCAGCACGGGGTTATCTCTGCTTCTTCGCCATATATCGGTACGTACCACGTGACACCATGTCTTCTCATTTGCCGCGTATGTTGTGTCTGTGTTGTTTGTCTGGCTGCGGTTTAGTGTTTTTGGCAGTTATTTTTCTTGTTAATGGGTTAAGCTCTAAAATGATTTATTATCCATGCTATGTGACACGAGTGGTTTTGATAAGCGAATCATATCTGTGGTGAAAGGCGGAAATCGTAAATGTACATACTTGTATATGTGTCGGTATGTTAGAAGTCGTCTAATTGTTTATATTTCTGATTGTTTTATGACGGATGCCTTCATGTTTATCTAATTTGTTGTTCTTCAACACTTTTTATACCCTGTACCCAAAGGGTACAAGGGTATATTAGTTTTGTGCGAGTGCACATGGAACACACAGAAGGAGGCTTGGTAGACCCCACAAAGTATATATATTCTTGATCAGCATGACAAGCCGAGTCGATATAGCCATGTCCGTCTGTCCGTCTGTCCGTCTGTCCGTCTGTCTGTCCGTCTGTCTGTCTGTCTGTATGAACGCAAGGATCTCCGAAAGTATAAGAGCTAGAATAACCAAACTTGGTACACAGATTCTCCTGAGACCGAGAAAGGACGAGTTTGTTCATTTTTTCTGATCCAACCCCCCACTCCCCCCCTATTACCAATTTTCTACAACTCCCGTAATTCTTGGAATTTTGAACTTAAATTTGGTAGTCACATTAGGTTAGTAATTATATATCCGTATACCAAGTTTCATTATGATAGAATGATCGAAAAGAAAGTTATAGCCATATAACCAGGCCCAATGCACACATACATACATATGTACAAGTACACAAACACGCATAAGGCACGATTCTGATGTAAATGTAAATGTATGTATGCATGCATGGAATATTTTATATTTAATTAGTTAATATTTAGTTAATTAATTAAATTAATTTAGTTAATTAATTAAATTAATTTAGTTAATTAATTAAATTAATTAATTAATTAAATTACTTTTTTGTGGGGTGGTACAGGGTATTTAAGAGTTGAGCCTGCTCGACTTTAGCATTCCTTTCTTGTTTTAAAACTCTAACATTATTTATATATTTATTTATTTATAATATTTATAATATTTATAATATTTATAATCTGCAGGCAAGTGAACATAATTTTCAACCAAATACCAAATAATTTATTTGTGTACTGCTTAGGCGCCGCACATCGCATTCAAAATATGAGTTACCCCTAAATTTCTGCGATTGTTATTGTACATATATTATCTAGGAAATCAAATAAACAGTTAATAAATATTATCAAAAAGAAGCACTTTTTTCTCGGGAAAACGACAACAAACCAAATGAATAAAGGAAAACAAATTGCCTTCCTCAACTGTAACTATTCCGAGCCATGTATAGGGAGATACATTTACAATTAGATTTGCAGTCTGATTTTATTTTCCATTTACGCATAATTATTTTGCCAGCGTCATTCGTGTTGATTGGGCAATAACTATAACAATTAAACTAATTAGTGGCTGGGAGATGTTAGCTGTAATTAAGTCTTATTCAAAACATTGTAAAATATCATGGTTAGGCTGTGGCACGAAGAGCTGCAAAAGCTTCGCTTGCCTAGGTTTTTTTTGTTGACTGCAGCGAAGACTTAACCACGCACAGCAAACTTCAACGATTTGCTCTCTGACCTACCACAAAAAGCTAAATGAATGAGCGAGTGAATGAACGAATGACAGACATACGGACAGACATAGCAAGGGACTGCTGGCAGCACTCAGAGAAGCTGCAGGAACAGCCGAGCGGGGACCACTTGACATACTGACTCGTACATTGGGTGCTCCCAAGACTGCGCAGTCAACAATGCGGCGACGGAGGCGCCGACAGAGGCGGTGACGGTGACAGTTGCGACGACTGACGACTGTCTCTGCGACTGGGACGTGCTGCCAGGCAATGTCGCGCTCAGCATTTACGGGCAACACCTTTGGCGGGTTAACTCTACGGCCCAGCAACCGATTTTTCTTCTGCTCAGGTGCAAATGGAAAAAATGCGCGCAGAACTTGTGCAATTTTTTATGCCATGATTTTTTTTTGCTTTTGTGGTTGTTGTTTTGGCGCTTGTTGTTGTTGTTGTTGATATTCTTATGTTTTGCTGTTTAACTTTGGCATTTAGATGCACAGATATTGAGCGTGAAGGTGTGAGCATTCACTTTGTGGATCCCAAACTTTTTGCTTCGCATTTCCAACAGTATAATATCAAATACCAGCAGCTTTGGTTGTTGGTCCCCTTTCTGTTGCTATCAAAAGTTGTGTCTTTGATTTTTTTAGTTTGGAAAAAGTTTAGCGGAACAAAACTTGCACTGTTAGGTTACCGTGCAACCATGACTGTGACGCGCTACACTTGTCAGTGTCAGAACTTTCTTCGATTTCCTATTAGATTTGCCCTTACTTTTGCTTTCGGTTGTCTTTATGTTCATTTTTTTGTCGTTAAAGTTTAGATCCGAAGCGCGACCAGCTACTAAACGGGGGTTTTCAACTTTTGGTTCCAAAGTTGGCACTGCAAGTAGTGAGGTTTGAGTAAAGTTGTGAAGACGTGTATGCTACAAATCAGCGAAAATACTTTTGATCAAAGATAATTTTCAATAATTATGTGGGCAGTAAACGGCGAATCGGTTTATTTTTGTTTTTGAGCTGGCTTGAGATAATTTATAGGGATGGGATGGACCGAGTTAAGGGATCTTGCAAGTCCAGTATTATGAAGCATTTCAAGAAAAAAAGTCATTAAAGAAACTGAAGCATTTAATTTCCCTACGAGTTCTCTCCTGCTCTTCTCAAACCAGATACTTAATTAATTTTTATTTACATTCTGATTTTTCTTTTCCACTCCTCTTTCATGCCCACCCCAACAATAAACAACAAAAAAAGTTGAAAATGTATGAGAAGAAATCTTTTCCTTTTGGCAGTGGAGGGCCCTCGAAATGCTTGCGTTAATTTGCTTCACATTCGCGTAGCTAACAATTCCCAATGAGCATAAACATTTAGCAACATTAACTTTTTGGCCGATTTGTCGACAGACAACGTTGAGGAGACGCCCGAGGGTCGATAAGAACAACAGTTGCAGAAACAACAACGAAAGCTGCCAACAAATGAAACTAATTGAGTCTTTGACTTGAATTCACTGATTTTGGCACATAATATGAATGTTTTTGTTACGTATTACAAATAAGCACACATACACTTACATATATACTAATGTAAGTATATTTGGAATTCCTTATCTTTGCAGAAAAGTCGACTAAACGTTGATGTTGTTCATTGTGGACTCGCTTCATTCTGCACGACTCCCGTTCCAGTTCATGGTCGCATAAAATGTAAGTGTTAATTTATTCTGAGCATACTTTTTGGCACTGGCCAACTATGTAAACACACAATAAATATGCATAAAAAGAGAGAGCATCTTTAATAGGAGGAGGGGTCACGCCTAACCAATTTTGGTGCTCCTATTGACCATGACGAACTCAGTTGATTAAGTTGCTCGTGCTTGAAAGGAATTTAATGAATTCATTGAACGAATAATTTCCAACGACAGTAGTTCAAAGTTTGCCTAAAATTATATTCAATTGGCAGCAAAGATGAGACAACACTAAGACGGATGATTAATGAAGGTTCGACTTGAGTGACTGACTCAGTGAGGACAGAAAGGCGATGAAAAATGGCGATAAATGAATTGGGCGTCTTGCGGTCTAAACAAGATTCTTCTGGCATGTCTAAAATCCATTTGCATTATGGCTAACACATACGTATTCAGTTGTTTTTGAATGACCTCTTCGAAAAAAGAAGATGAATAGAAAATACATCATCATATTGTAACAAATAAATGGAAAGAGAATATAGTCTAAGCTAACCGTTGATTTCCTTGACAATTGATAAACAAATCGTCAAAAGTAGAGGAGCCTGCCATGCCCTGGCATGGCACTTAATATTCCTCGCCATAAAATAAAAATAAATGTGCATAACTCTATAGTGCTTCTCAAAAATGTCTTGGCAAGAAATTGTGACAAGCAAGGAGGCGCCTGACTATGCGGCTTTTCCTATTGCTTGGCGACTTGCTGCCTATTTGCTCGTGCCATAAGCTTCAATTTCAAATCAAATTCCTTTTTCCTACAATTTATTTTGCTCATATTTAGAGCACACAAACATTTGTCTGTTTCAGCAACAATAAGTACAACGACTGCGGCAGCAGCAACAACGGCATTGGTGGCATGCGACATTTGACATTTCGTTGTTGCTGTAAAAGTTGCTGTACCCCCGTTACGGCCCCCTTACAGCTTCTTGTCATTGTACTTTCTTGTTATGTTCGGTTTGTTTGACACAAACATGAAAATGCGATTTTTAGTTTTTTCTTTCGTTTTCTTTTGTTTTTTGTCGCCATCAGTGCTGCTGTTGTCGTCGCCACTTTTTGTTTTGACAGGGATCTGCTGCTAAAAGTATTTTCCCACCATTTTTTTCTTTTTGGGCATGTCGCGTTTTGTTTTGGCTTAGATTTTGTCGCTACGCACGTGCGGAATTTTCGTGGCAGTTTAGTCTGTATCCTCCCCCCGCCTACGAGCGCAATAAAATCAAATCGTGTGCAACGCTGCAGGAGGTGCGGAAAACTTGCAAACACTGTTTTTCTTCCTACAAAAACGAAAGAAAATATTTGAAAATTTTGGTCAAACGAAAATGTTGTTACTACTCACACATATGTACATAATTGCATGTGTTGCTACTGCAGATGCGTTTCCATTGAATGGCGATAGCTGATGCGAAAATAATAAACAAAAATGTGTTACTACTATATAATTTCTGAATTATTAATGGGAAAACTGTAAACATATAAAAAATACCAATGAAAGTCAATTAAAAATTTAGTTGAAATTCATCAACAGGCAACAAACACACACACAGATATGCACACATACTTTTTGTGTAGAAATTTTAATCAAAACAATTTCAATAGTATGCATTTGAGCTGTGCAGACGACCGCGAATATGTCAGAAATGCATTAGTAAAAACCAATTTCAACATTTTTATGCCCTGCACGCGAAGTGCAAAAGGGTCTATAGATATAGGCAGAAGGACGCACCTCCGGCTCTATAAAGTATACATATGCTCTTAATCAGCACGTTGAGACACATCTGGACATTCATCTGGATATTGGAAACGGTTATGTCCACTCTCCTAGTTCCTAGGCACAAGTTTATTAATTTTCGAAAACATTTCATAATCAATTATAGGTAAATTTCTACCTCCATTTAAGATTTAATTGGTTAAGTGAAGTTATTAGCGAAACAATATTACGCCTTCCAAACTGTAGCAACAGGATCGCTGATAACAGGAGTATTTTTTTCACAGGGTATGCAATCTCTCTTGTTAAAATGTGATTTATGCCAAGGTTTGAGAGGCCTGTGCGTTTGTTATGGGACGAACAACGTGGCGTATGCGTAATATTTTCTGATGCCATTTATTGTGGTTTATTTTGCTGCTGTTAATTTACCTTTTAGAGCTATAAAATGCAATTTCGTAACCATTAACCAACATTAAGTGTCTAGCTTGACTGCCATAAAATACACAGCTGAATTATGGGCACAATGATTAGCCAGAGAAACAGCAGCAGTTACAGAAAAACAGCCAGAACAGCAATAATGGTGAGACTAAAAACCAGGCAAAGGCAAAACGCCAGCAGCTTTGTATAGCTATTAAATTAGCTAACTGAGCCAGCAGTCCCCCGCCTTGAAAAGTGAATGGAGGGTACAGCACAAAATCGGAACCTAAAAACGTCTGTTTTCGCTATAATTGGCCACATATTTTGTGTTGGAAGCGCGCTTTCCTTTCAGGTAGCGGTAGCAAACAGCCCCAGCCGTAATATGGCTAAAAAGAACGGCCAATGAATTTTCGTGTGTATGAGCATGTGTCCGTATGTACATTCGTGTATGTGTGTGTGTATTGCTTGTGGCATGTGCTTGCATTTGGCTAACTGGGTCGCATAGGGCATATCAATATATTTTAAGCAACGCGGACTACTGTGTAAAGGGCACACGGTACTGATGTGGATAGTAGCTTGTTTGTGTGCCAACTAAAAAAAACTGTCCCTGGTTGATGTTTGTTATGGAAATGCTCTTTTCTAGGCTTACATAGATAAGCTGCCAACTGATGGGGCAAAGGGTTTGAGTGTCTCTAATGGAGAGGGAATATGTACAAGTATTTGAGGGCTAAAATGTGGATCCAAATGAGATTGCAGTTGTCCTGCAGTATGAAATGTTTCAAGATACTTAGGAACGTGAGGTCTGTTGGAAAAATCACTTTTTGTTTGTAAAGACTAGAGCAAATAAAGGGATCACTATCAATAGTTTACTTAAATGGTTAGGTGATAGTTTAGCTAATTACTGAGAAAAGATAAAACTTTATTATTATGAAGCACTGTTGGTGCTTTTCCGATATACAAGTATGTTGAAGACAAGCAAAGAGAATACCATTCTGTTCGACAATGAACAAAATGATGAGATAGATATAGAAACATTTTTACCGCCGTTTACTCTGGTTATTCTTGTAATATGAGTATCTTGAATATTCATTCAAAAAAATTTAAATAGTTGCGTTTTCATTGCAGACGAGTTGAATAGAAATTTTTTCAAATTGGTTAGAAGTGGGTTCTGCATTTTCGGCAGATGTTGAACTGTGTTTCTATATCATCATTTAAACTGTACTGCAAGGCGGTCGTCTGTAAAACAAATTATTGAAACCTCGACCGATGATCCTTTAGTAGAGTTTTTGTTGTTGAGTACACAATTGAATGCAGTTTATTTAAAGTGCATTCGTACATTAGTTGTAGCATAATGCGTTTTAAATATTTATTGAGCGTGAAAAGGGCATCAAACCTCTTGTCGTATGTTATGAAGCACGCATTTACTCACACATCAGTGCACTTGCCGAAGAGAGATCGCCAATCTACTATTACGGCTTAGGAGGGAAACAAGCAGAAAAACAATTGTCGCATGCCAGTAAAAGGAAGTGTAATAACAAGTAGAAATAGATAGAAAGCATGCATAAATTGGCATCAAGTATTGGCAGTAAAGTAGAAAATGGCGCAGCTGAAGCTAAAAGGCAATTTCGTATCGACTACAAAAGCGACGACATACAAATTGAAAGACCAAGCAGCAGTCATGTGTGTAGTATATCAGGCGGAGAGGTGAGGCCGATGGCGATAGCGATGCAATGACGATGGCGATATGGTTGGCGTTGACATTGACTGGGCTGTTGAAACATATTGGCAAATGCCATTGCAAAACAAACACAAATACTACTTCAAGCATAGAGAGACACAATGCTTCATGCAATTCTAATAATGTAAAGTTTACGTAAATGTTGTCTTTGCAAATATAAGCCAAACGACAGCAGCTGATGCGAGCTAAATTGCTGCCCATTGTGGGTGGACATTGAGCTGCGCCAATCGTATTGCAATTTGTCAGAACGTCAGCTAGACAGTCTGTCAGCCAGTGAGTCAGTCAGTCAATTTGTAAGTCAGTCAAGCTCTCGAGTGGAATTGGGTTTTTTTTATCACGCAACTGGTTTTTTCTTTCAAATTTTACTTTTTTCCTCCACTTTTCTTACTTGTAGTTTCTGTCACACATGTCGTATGATTGATTTATATAACAGCAGGATTGTTGCATTTCTTGTTGTCGTTGTTATTGTGTTAGTACAGTATGAGAAAAATAAATGCATTTTCAATGCTCTTCCAGCTGTTGCAATAGCATTGCAATAATCCATTGATTGCATGACTGATTTATGCATATACTCGTATATGATTGAATTCATAAATTGTCTCGTCCAACCTTCTTGGGATCTTGAAGTCATGCATTAAGTTGACACCCGTTTGGCTTAAATTGCTGCCAAGGCAACTAACTGTCTACATATTAAATGGCATAGGGAAATTTCTCTTCTAATTAAAAAGTTAGAAAATATCAGGCAAGTTCATAATGAAAATGAGCAACAACGTCGAGCTACAGTAGTGACATTAACAAAAGCAACCACATGGGAGCAAGAATTCTGCTCGGCTTACAAGTGACGCCACAGTGGTGCAAAAAATAGATTAACTGATTGAAAATATTCGCAATTTAAGCAATTCTTCTTCTTGGTTGATTCGAGTGAAGTAAGTAGGAAATGAATAACCCTTAGTGCGCTTCTATAGTGTCAAATTTTAAGGCTTCTATACGTGTTAAATAACGATTTATTAGTTTCAGAGAAATAGTAATAATGCTTACAAACTATCTATTATTCTCTTTGTTTGCCAAAGAAATACAAAAGAGATTGGCCGAAACGGGAATATTTTTC